TTTAAATGGGACTACCTACTTTTTATTGTATATTCTTGTAGCTTATCTCAAGAGCTTTCCAAAACACTAATAAAGTAGTTTTCCATTATGTACTTTATGAGTAATAAAATTAAGAAGTTACAATATCGCTGGCATTAGTTGTACCGAGGTGTACCGCGTGGATGTTGCACGGTCGAAGTTACACCTCTCTCTTTCTCTCTCTGTGTGTGTGTGTGTGTGTGTTTGCGTGTGCGTGTTGTGTATCTTATCGTGTGTTTCTTTCTTTAAGTGATTTCTATATGTATATATTTATATATACAGGGTGAGTTATTCCACATCCGACAAAATTTGTAGAAGGTAGAACGGATTGAGATGAACAGAAAAGTTCTGTACCATTTTGCAATTTTCGTACTAGTTAACGAGTAATTAATTTAAAAAAATCGTTGTCCTAGCCCGGCCCAATTCGAGAGCGTGGCGAGATGTGACCGCCCGGTGACCGATATTGCCATGCGCACGGAAAGTTGTTTATCACATTCGGCAATGGCTAGAGACTCTGTAATCAGAGACTGGCCATAAAAGAGTTTCTCAAATTCTTGCGAGTGAGAGAGAAACGTAGGCTATCTCACTCTTCTACGATTCTACGATCATAGAAAAGTGAAATAGCCTATGTTTCTCTCTCATTCGCAGGAATTTGATAAACTCTCTCATGGCCAGTCTCTGATTACAGGGTCTCTAGCAATGGCTACGCACGAACGACGTGTAACGCTGGACTTCCATTCCGAGCTATAAAAATTCCTTAGCCTCTTTTAATCAAATTTATTTAATATTTAATATTTACATATTTAATAAAATTCGGCATAGAAATATTTGTGCGTATATATGTATGTATGTATGTATGTTACATGAACATAGAAAAATACGGAGAGGGGGGGACAACGCGCCGTTGCCCGCTAGCTTATGTACCGCGCCTAGACTCGTGTCGCAATAGCCGGCTACACGTTTGCGATCAGAAAAAATAAATTAAAGCGAGATTAACCGATGGAATCTACATCTGATTTATTTATTTACTTGTTCATTTTACGCGCCGCTCATGCGTAGCCATTACCGATTGCGATATACAACTTTACATGCGCATAGCAACATCGATCGCCGGGCGGTCACATCTCGCCACGCTCTCGAATTGGGCGGTAGGCCGGGCTAAGACGACAATTTTTAATAATTAATTACTCGTTATCTATTGGAAAAATTGCAAAATGGTAGAGGACTTTTCTGTTCATCTCGATCCGTTCTACCTCTTCAAAAATTTTGTCGGATGTGGAATGACTCACCCTGTTTTTATCAATCAATTATATTCTGGTTCTTATTACATAAAATAATAGGACTGTATGGAAGATAGTATTTTAGGATTACTCTTGAATTTAATCTTCTGTTTCTGGCTCTCTCAGCAAATTTCGGGGAGATCTTTGGCTTCTTTAAATGTAGATTAGTTGCAAGAATAAGATCAATACGCTGAAAAGAACGATTGAGCAAAATGCTCCAAAAGTATTCAGGATTTGCGAAATAAAAGAACAACAAATCATTTCCGCGTGCTAAAAGCACCCTCGAATATTCATAAAATGAATTGGCGTGGATGTGCTAATAGCACCACTTATTAGTGTGCATTAATGTGCTGAAAGCACCTTTACGAAAGCAGAACATAAAAGGAAAACGATGTTTGCTGGTAGCAACAAATATGCAACTTAATTAATGCATCAAGCAACTGAATGCTGATCAGAAAAACTTAGCTCGTAGCTGCGAGAGAAGCCTCTTTCCTCCCTTTCACACCCGCTCGCTGATCTCGTCTTTACATGGCACTTTGTTTCTTTGCTTGCCACATACGTTCTACGTAATTCGATGATTGTACTTCAGATATAATCAGTAATTCAAAGTTCCAACTTCAATATCCATAACCAGAATCAGTCAAACTCAAATTCTATGCAGAAAAGCCATTCACGAAGTTAATAACATCTGTGAATAACTCAAGAAGGAAAGCAGGACTGTTAAATCAATAAAGAAAACAGTCGAGCTTCGCTCCATCACCAAGACGAGAAAACGACAGCGTCACAACATTCTCTCTCTCTCTCTCTCTCTCTCTCTCTCTCTCTCTCTCTCTCTCTCTCTCCTTCTCTCTCTTCTAACACACCCTGTATATATAATCACCAAAAAATTACTTGATGAATTGGTACATTTCTTCGTCGCAATTATTACAGTCTATCTTGTAGACAACTTCGGTTCTCTTGCCAATGTTCAGTCTGTCCTTACCCCTCTTTATAATTTGGTTAAGTTTTTTTCGGTATCGTACGGAGGACCCCGAGACCATGGGGTAGGGGTTGCGACTTGGTTGTCCTACATAGGACAAACCAAGAGACATCTTCGAACAAGGATTAATGAACACTGCAACGATATTAAGAAACATGAAAATAATTTATCGGTCCTTAGCAAGCGTCGCCTCAATCATGAACACGATTTTAATTGGTTGAAACCTAAAATATTACATAACGAAAAACATAAAATTAAACGTGAGGTTGCTGAAATGGTTTTTATAAAAAAATATAAAAATGCTATTAATTTAAAACGTGACACTGAAAACTTAAACTCAGTATATAATAAAGTCCTTGAACACCTGTGACTTTCATTTGTGTCGATATGCATTTATATTTTCTGGGTACATGATACTGTTAATCTTATTTATGCTGCTAGTCTAATGCGACCTCTCGTCAATACAAGTCCGGTTCCTGACAGTTGTGAAATCAATTTTAATCTCGGACACGATTTCGCGAACATCGTGTTGCTTCTCAATCAATTTTACCTTTCTTCTAACAAAGAAGTGTAAATCTACTTGATCAATATGTAAGTTTTTATTGAACATGTTAGTTGAGTGTGTTACATTATAATGACTTTCCTCTTGTCTCTACTCAGTTTGTTACAGTGGAATGGTATTGGCCAAACGATTGACTAATGACACAGTAATTATTACTTAGGTACGAATTTATAGTTGATTTGCGATAGGTCTTCAGCATTGTTTTATAATTTGCAATTTGCGATTTCAGATCACTTGAAAAGGGCCCAAATCCGGGGCCGAAACGTTGTAATCGGTTGTTGAATAAAAACATTGGCCAGTGTAGGTCGTTTAATCTTATGAAATTTGGTTTCAAATTACTGGCAATATATAATTACCACTTTTGTTTAATTATAAAATAAATACTTAGTGAGTGAGTGTGAATGAGAGCGATAATGCATTCATTAAGTGATATTTTTTTATGAAAAAAGTTATATGAATTTATAAAAATCAAAGGGGCTCAACCAAAGCACTAACCGCTCCTGCGTGCAGGAGTCACTTTAAATGGAAATAAAAAGTAGGGTCAAGCTGTTGCTTCAAATGTTACGATGTATTCTTTTTCTTTTTTTTCTTTCAGTAAAGATAGAAAGAAAGGAAAAACGCTTGGAAGCGTTTGCAGCGGTAGCTTGACCGCAGTTAAAGATACAAGTTCTTATTTGACTTGGAGTCAGTGAATTCACTTATAAGAAATTTAACATTTTAAATGACTTAAAGTGTGTTAAATCTAAAATTACCAAGGAAATGGACGTGGGAAAATTACGTGCGAATCGAATACAATCTCGTATATTAATGTGCTGACTCATTTTCCTGATTGATATCGGAAATCTTTATTATGTGACGTCTGAATAATGTCAAATAAACTTTGAAATCGTATACCAAATACATTAGACCAATAAGGTGGTAGTATTACTTACAATGTCAGTAATATAAAACTACCAATCTTATCGAACTGCATTTAATTTTGATC